TTCATTAGTGTGTGCTGATATTGTTAAAAGGTGATAACATGGCTCAAGGGGATGACAGCTAATCAACAAATTGCATAAAATAGGACACACACACACACAGATGTTTTATCCTGCTAATGACTCAAAATAGGCCACATCCAGATGTCAGTTTTATCCAAACACTAACTTTTTTGCAAACACACACAGACCAGCTGCTGGTGGCTGATTGTGGGCCTCTCCCTCATCTTATCTGCAGCGAGCACTGCAGCAACCCCACTGTGTGTGTGTGTGTGTTTGTGCATGTGTGTGTGCATGTGCATAGGCTGAGCTCTTTGGGATCCTGTAAAGCAAGCGGTCATCAGACTTCTGTAGCATTTAAAGAACATCACACAACAGACCGGCAGCACTCGCTGAGAAGGAATGCATATCGCCCGCTGCCTTTCCTGTCAGATTTTCAAAATAAGATCACTTTGTGATGAGAAATGACGCAGGTGTAGCTGTTTTGGTCACACTATGAAACCAGCCATACGCACAATCTCATGCAATGTTGCATGGAGTCGCGCTCCAAGCATGTGTTGAGGGTCTCTCTCATCTTCTACCAAATCAAATTTGAGCTCAGTATCTGTCTGTCTGACTGAGTTGATGCCATTTCTGTGTTGGCTACTGTTCATTAGTTGTGGCAGCCATCTTGAATTTGAATTACTCCAAAAGTTAATCAGTAGTAGTGGTACATCCTGGGATTACTTTCCAAAAGTATTAGTAAAATATTTTCAGTGGTTCATTAGATATTTTGCTAACAGACAAACAAAGTTATGTTCAATAGGTAATGCTAAAGTTATAAGTAAAGCTCTTGTACAATGAGTAGCTCTGGGTGTATGTGGTGGGGAATTAACCTCAGCTACAGCCACAATACTTGTTAGGTCAATATTTGTAAAATATATACTATATTATATATATTATTATATATAATATACTGATTATATTGTAATCATCTTTAATTATCTTGTGTTTTGTAGGCTTAGCTGGTTGTTGAAGCCATCAAAAATTTAGTCAGTTGTTGAGTTGTATTCAGTAATTAGTTCCTGAGAGTTTCAATAAAATCCATCCATTGGTTCATGAGATATTTTGCTAAAAGACAGAGTTAACTAAAACTAGAGGAACTAGTGTGAATGCATACTGCAGAAGAACTTGCTGAAAATAGCTAAAAAATCTGAAATGTGGCTGAAATGGAAGAACAAGCCCAAATTAGCTGAAAAAGTCAGAAAAACATATTTGCTAAATAAGCAGAAATGAGCACAAAAATTAGGAAATTAGCTTAAAAAGGCTGAAATTATATATGAAAAATAGCTGAAAAGGCAGAAAAAGCCTAAACCACCAGAAGGAAGTGGAAAGAACTGAACAGAGCTAAAAAAAAAAAGTGGAATTAGCTGAAAATGCTGAAATTAGCAACAGCAACAAAAAGAAACTGCTGAAAAGTAGCTAAGAAGGCAGAAAGAAGCTTAAACTAACACAATTAAGCTGAACAGAGCACAACAAGCTGAAATTAGCAGAAAGAAGTTAATTAGTCTGAAAGTAGCAGAAATGACAATGAAAAACGTGAATTTATCTGAAAACTGCCGAAAATAGCTAAAAAATGCTAAAAGAAAAAAATAAAAATTAGCTGAAAAGGTAGAACAAGCTTAAATTAGCAGAAAAAAGCAGAAAGAATGCATGTTTGTCCAATTAGATTTAAAGAAGCAGAAATGAGCCAAAGAAATGGATATTAGCTGAAAAAAGATGAAATTACCAACAACAAACAAACAAACCCCTTCAAAAACTGCTGAAAAGTAGCTTAGAAAGCCAAAAGAAGCTTAAATTACCCAAAGGAAGTGGAGAGAGTACATGTTTGCTGAAGTAGGCTGAAAAAAGTTGAAACAAGTGCATAAACATGGAATTAGCCGAAAAAGCTGAAAGTAGCATAAAAACAGCTAAATAGTAGATAAATAGCAGAAAAAGCTGAAACTTGCATAAATAAGCTAAATGGAACATTAGCAGAAAGAAGTTAGAAGAAACACAAAAATGTAGTTAGCAGAAAGAATCTAAAAGGATCACAAAACAGCTGAAAGAACAGCTGAAATTAGCTGAAAGTAGCTGAAATATGTTTACATTTGCACAAGTTATCTGAAAGAAGCTGAAGCAGAACAAAATGTGAAAGGAGCAGTAAAAGGTTGTAAACAGCTCTAAAGACTTGAAGGGTGGAAAATGAGCTCAATTCATTTTCTAGGAGAAACAAAAATGGTAGAAAAGGCTAAATATTCCAAAAAGCTAAAGTTGCACCAATACCAAAAGTCATAGCACCGTTCTCCTGAAGGAGCTGAACATTTTAATAAATGATTTGTTGAAATAGCACAAAAACTGCGGAACGAGAAAGATGCTGACAAACCTCGAGTAGATAAATGGATCACAGTAGTGAATCTTCATAAACATTCACAAAAACACATAAAACCAGAATTAAAACAACGATCTTGTACAATCTGTTAGAAAATACTCTTTTCTTTGTCTTGTTTGATAAAAAGTCATTTTTCCCTGATATGATTTAAAATGTATTTCATGACAAAACATAAGGAATAAACTGTTTAACCTTCACTAGAAGAACCCTAAATAAATGAAGACGTATATAAATATTACAAAACAGCAACAGTTTGTTTCTTATGAGCAGTTTAGTTCGTGTAAAATTAGATTATGTTCTTCAGTTTTTGTTTATTTTTAATTTACTGTATAGCATACCTTTACAATGAGTAACCAGTGATATGATTAAAGGTATTCCATCTAAACACCTGCGACACACTTATATAAAAAGATTTAATATTGAGTAACTTTTGTCTAAAAATAGGGTCTCTGTTTCAAACTACAGTTGTGCTCTAATCTGATTATTGTGCTGATCCTGTGGCCTCGGCAGCTGTGGGACGGTGTGTGTCTTATGTAACACGCCGCCCTCCTCGCCCCTCGCTCATCCTCCTCTGTGTGTAAATAATGACGATGTGTCACGACACTCCATTCTGCTTCCTGAGTTCACCTCGGCGCCGTTGAGGGAAGCATCCGTGCCCTTCTCTGTGCACAAAACACGGTTTTGAAAGAATTCAAGTTTCACTCGCGCTCCTTTAACTCAGACAAACGTTCACATGTAAGAAAAGATTATTTATGGCCTCAGAGCCACCGAAGTACACTCCCTGGATCTGTGTGATGTGTTGCTTTAAACGGCTTTGGATCTGGTTATTGTAATTATAATTCAGTTGTAATCCATTAAACCCTGACATGTTGTGATGTTCCCACCCCCCATCATGGAGTGAAAAGGGACAATTGGAAGTACACTCCGTCGGTCAGTCTGTGTGTTGTGTAAGCACAACAACTTGAAAAACAAGTGAGGTACCAATTTCCATTTTGGTGTGTGCATCTAGGCATAAGAACGGTTCCTTTCCAAAAGTGGGTTGCCATGTCCCCTTGATTTATTTTTTTCATTCTCATGCTTTTAACCTTCAGCCAAAGATCAAGAGCATGTTAGGATTTTTTTTTTTTTTTGTCTCCAAACCCTATGTGTCATTTTTCACCACTTTTTGTTGTCTGTCTAAACAGGTCTCACTTGTAAATGAGTCTTCGAGGCTCAATGTGATTTATCTGTTTAAATAAAGGTTGAATGAATGAATGAATGTCAAAATCCAAGATGGCCACCCCCACATATATATGTAAACCAGCCGCCCATATCATTTGAAGAAACTATGCTTTCTAGTTTTTATATTGCTTAAAAGTATAGTTTCCACAAATGATTTGGGTGACCGGTGAGGAGGCTGAAGATTAATCTACGGTGGTCAGGGCCACCATTGGCCACCCCCTGGCTCCGCCATTGCACCTTATAGTGGATTAGATTGCTCCCTCCTCTCGCCAGGATTCGTCTGCTCCACCTCAGACAAGGACAAATAACTCCCTCTGTTCTTCTCCACAGTGTAACTCCTGCCTACTTAAATGTCTCACACCAAAAGCATTAAGGTGCATTCCCTGTTCAGTTCCAGTCTAGAAAAACACTCATCCCCAAAGCTACAAACACTCACTATTCAAATCCTTCAGTGACAGTGGTCATGCGCCATCTTGTTTAATTTGACCTTATTACTGGAGCACTTCATTTTCCCCTCCCTCCCTTCCTGTTTAGCTTTGTAGATTTAATCTAATTCAGGTGCTCTTATCAGCGCTCTAAATTTAATGCTGCTGAGCAAAGTTACTTGTAATAAGTGCAGGTGAC